CTCCCTCCCTCCTCCATTTCTTCCTTTCCTTTCCTGGCTAAACTATATAACCTTTCCTCCTACCCAAAAGGCCTCCATCCCCACTAGAGCGGTGAGGAGAGAGGTGTTAGAGTTTGACAGCAGCCCCCCACTTCTTTCCACGCCACACCCTAAGGGCCAGCTGGCCTCGTGGGGACGCTTCTCAGGAGGCCAGCATCCTCCATCCCTGCAGCCCCCAGAGACATAGACGTCCTGCGCTCTCTAAAATTCACAACTGACTTGACTCTGCAAAGAGCAGAGGGCTCTCATCCACCAGAGTATAACCTACAGAGACTTCTGAGAGGTTGTTTTAGACCCATTGAGGTTGAGATGATGCCACGGAAATGGTAAGAAAAATTCAGAGGTGGATATTGGTGAGCCACAAAAAGGAACTCTGGGGGGACGCAAAGTTCTTGTCCCCCCTTGGACTTTGTCCATGCTTCAGCCATATTGTTTTTTTGGGTTTTTTTTGAGTTGGAGTCTCACTCTGTCACCTAGACTGGAGTGCAGTAGGCGCTCCCGGCTACCGCAGCCTCGACCTGCTGGGCTCTGGCGATCCTTCCGCCTCAGCCTTCCAAGTAGCTGGAACTACAGGCATGCACTACCACGCTCGGCTGATTTTTTGACTTATTGTAGAGATGAGGTCTCGCTGCCCAGGCGGGTTTCAAACCCGCGGGCTCAGGCAATCCACTCACCTCAGCCTCTCAAAGGTGTGGGATTACAGGCTGAGCCACCAAGCCCGGCTTAGCCATATTGTTGTGGCATTGTCGGTGAGCACACTTTCCTGTCTTCGCTCTCTGACTGGATGATAATCCCGCAGATATGTCTCACCTGCCTTGGTTTCCCTCTGCTCTACAGCACAGGCCTTTCACCTATAGCTTCTCAGTAGAACTTTCCCAGCTGAACAAATCAAACAATGACTTAGCCAATAAGCCGGTGGTTATCTTTGAGCAGACAAGTGGGGCAGGAATAAAACTTGAGGAAAGAAATGAAAGAAAATGTAGTGGCTGAGGCCAGGTGCAGTAGCTCACGCTATTATCCCAGCATTTTGGGAGGCCGAGGGGGGAGGATTACCTGAGCCTACAGGTTCAAGACCAGCCTGGGCAACTTGGCGAAACCTCATCTACAATAAATCAAAAAAATTAGCTGGGTGTGGTGGCACATGCCTGTAGTTCCTGCTATTGGAAGGCTGAGGTGGAAGGATCGCCTGAGTCCAGCAGGTCGAGGCTGCGATGTCCATGAGCGTGCCACTGCACTCCAGCCTGGATGACAGAGTGAGACTCCAACTCCAAAAAAAAAAAAAAAAAAAAAAACAACGTAGTGGCTACTAATGGTAGAATGCAGTCTTGAGATTTTGCTAACAAAAGATTCAAATGAGTCCAGGTTTAACCAAAGTCCTGGAAAGGTCAGGAATTAGCAGGCTCTATGGGCTTCCTTTTTTCTTCTCTGGATACCTGTGCCGCCTTTGTGTCCAGGGAACAAACCCATTCTTCTGTAACCAGCCAATTCCCCTTGCTTCAAACACCTTCAAGGAGGCCACCTCCAGGATGAATGGGAGAATGCAGAGCAGCTGTTTCTTGTACCAGTCTCGAGTGCCCTGGAAGGCAACACCCAAATGGACTGGCCTGGAGGCCTCCCCACACCGAGTCTGCCACCCCAGCTTGTCACTGGAGATGCCAGAAGGTTGGCAGGCAGGAAAGTTTTTGAAGGCTGCATCAGCATGGACAGGATATGCCAGAAAGGACTAGAAGAGTCTGTAACAGGCTGGCGAGAGAACAAAGGGGGTTTGGGCAGTCCCAAAAAGCCAACTCCTAGATCTGAGTTGCAGACTCATCCCTCAAGCCCTGATCTCATAGCCTGGGGCAGGCTCTTACAGTTATCTGTGCTTTGTGGGGCGTGGCTGTGAGAATCTGGATCTCTTGTTTGCACGGATATGCAGCCTGTCTATAAATAACGTACAGGCAGAAATTCCACTTGTGAGTGTTATGCTGGAGATACATTTGAATGTGTATGTAAAGAAGCATGCACAAAGGGCCTCGCTTGCAGCTCTGCTGAAGTCGCCAAAGACTGTAACCGTTGTAAATAAGCATCCGTGGGGGCCTGAGTAGATGCTCACAGGCTGTGTGCAGCCATTAGGAAGAGAGAGGCTGTTCTCCCTGCCTCAGTCTGGTGCTGGGATGAGATCATCTCCGAGGTATGCTGTTAATTGTGTGTCTGTTGAGAGAAGCAGGTGTTGGAGGCATATAGATACGCCTAGTTCTCGTCTACCTCTGGAAGGATTCACGAGTAACTAATAATGTTTTTGCTCTTAGAAAAGGGACTAAGGGCCAGGAGTAGGAAGGGGACTCTTTGTTGTATGCTCTTTTGAACTGCTAGAATTTTTAAATCTATGTGCATGCATGACCTGTTTTTTTTTTTAAATCATGACTTTTATTTAATAAATAAAAGAGCTGCAGTGTGTTAGCTGTCCTTAGGATTATCTGTGTACCTTGTGTTAGTGTCTGAGCTTGCCAGATTCATTTGCTTTCCTCTGGGGCCGGCAAATACTTGTTTTCAAAACAAAAGTTCCTCCAGTATGAGTCACCAGCCTGTTCAAATGTGGGAGAATCACACCTCTGTTCTTTCAGCCCTCTCTTTTCTGTCTGTGAAACGTTAAACAATCTTGTTACAAAAGTGCCCCCTAATTGCTGAGAGGAAATTCAGGAAGCCTGCCAGAGGCAGAAAGCAGGGAGCCAGGAAACCCTGGTGAGGAAAGGGGGGTGGGTGGGGGAGGCTGCTGGCAGTGGGTTGGGGGGTCTGCATAAGAGTTAAAGAGCCCTAGCATGACTTGCTAGAAATTATTTATTTTTAATAGAAAATTCTATGTTAAAGATATGGAGTACAATTCAGGATTAGGTATATACGTGGTCATCATACAGGTTAAGTTTGGGCTTCCCTTTGGGTCCCCACTTTGCCTGGTTTGAGATCAGGTACTCTTATTAATGTTGTGTCCACCCACCCTGGCAGTATCCCTCTTCTGCCAATCCCTTTCTTACAGTATTATGGTAAATGTTCAGGGTCCACGTATGAGTGAGAACACATGGTACTCTGTTCTTTGTTTCTGTGGTGGATCGCTGAGTATAATTGACTCTAAATGAAATTGCTCTTTTTTTATTTTCTGCTTCCTTATCTGGGAAGAAACCTGGGAAGGAGTTTCCATTCTGATCTCTCAGACTAGCACAGGTGACCTCGTCCCTCCATAGATAGCATCCTGTCCTTCAGGATACCTGGGGTTTGTTTTAGTTGGGTGGGGTAAGACATCACAGACACGGAAATGACTGTCATAAAGAAAGAAGTTCTTCTACTACGAGATCCCTGGGACCAGAAGGCACAGCACCCCACTCAGGGCTACGTGGAGAGGCACCTGTCATCCAGGAGTGGGGGGAGGAAACGAGTGAGACCCTTTGTCAGGGTTCCCACGATAAAGGAAGGGAAGGGAAGGGAAGGGTGAGGCAGGGCAGGCAGGCTGTGGCTGGCTGGTTTTAGTCATTTTGGTGGGCTCTAGGGTATAGGGGGCTCCCTCTAATTTTCCGGTGCCCAGCCCTGGGGTGATTGGGGTGCTTGAGAGCCCAGGAGAGGAGGTGGCTGGAGTTTGGGCTCCAGCTGGGTTGGTTTGCATATGAAGGGTGTGTGCAGGCCAGTTCTTCACTCTCCCTGGGAATTGGCTCGCTCTGGGAGGGGCAGTCCCTCCAGAATCAGCAAGGCCCCAAGGTGCCAAAGCATCCAAATACGGAACGCAAAAAGACATGGCCAACTCACTCAGGACTGACAAATATGGCTGTGCAGGTTGCTCACAGCACAAGGTATCTGGACGAGGAGGTGAGTAGGGCTGAAATCCAGACCAAGCTCTGCTGGCCAAGCCCCATGCCCACAGAACTGCTTCCCATCAAAGGGCTGGCATCTTCTAGCACGTTCAAAGACATCACGCGGTCTAGCAGAGGCCCACCATGGCTCTTGCCTCTGTTTGCTCTTCTGCATCGTTTGTGATTGTGTTATCAGCCTGGGTTTCCTTGACTGGACTCTCAGCGCCAAGGATGCTGGAGTCTTGTCTGTGTTTCCCACTGAACTGAAGCCTCAAGAGGGCAGGATCGGGTCTTCTTTGCTCTGTCCTACGGTCTCCACATGGCTCAACACAGCAGGTGCATACAACTGCTGGGTGCGTGTTTATAGGACGAATAAAAGAATGGGCTCAGGAGTATTCAGGACTTCAGACTCCAGAATTGTGTGTTACCTGTACCCTGAACTCTTTCTGGCACCAAAAAGGTCAAGATCTGTTTATCTGAGCAGGGTGAGTAGCATTCTTCTACCTGGCAAAAGCTGGGCTCCGGTCCCTGCCTCTATTTGGACCAAGAAGAGGCTTTTATTGTCAACTTCACCCTGCTGTGATTCCCTCTGGGATCTAGACCTTCTTGGGTGCGACTGAAGAGTGAATGACTGGGTGTGCTGGACTTGGTCTTCTGAGCCTCCAGGGGTTTCAGCCTAAATGAGCACAGCCCGGCAGCAAGCTCCCGCCTTTGCCTGGCAAAGCCATACAATGATTGCTGGAGAGAACTCACAGTAAAAGAGGACACGTACCGACTTTCAAAGAGGGGCCTTGGGGTTGTGCCATGTGTGTGCATGTGTGGTGTGCACATGCCTTCATGGGGAGGAAGGAGGAAACTGGGGGTCTTGTAGCCATGCGTGGGCGGGAGGGGCGTCCTTGCCATACACTGGGTCCTCTCTTTCCTAAGTGCTGACAACCTCCCAGAACTCGTGTTGTCTTTTTTAATTCAGATTTTTAAAATTTTAGATGCAAGGGGTACAAGTACATGTTTGTTACATGGGCATATTGTGTTCGGCTAGGACTTGGGATTCTGGTGTTCCCATTCTTGAAACAGTGAACATTGTACCCGTTAGGTAGTTTTTGAACCCTCGAGAACTTCTGTTTTCTTATCTCTCTCCAGGTTTCCATTCTATTATGAACTAAAAATAGCATTCGTAGCCTGGCTACTGTCTCCCTACACAAAAGGCTCCAGCCTCCTATACAGGAAGTTTGTACATCCCACACTGTCTTCAAAAGAAAAGGTAATTTCTGCTGCTCTGCCTTTCACTCCCTCCAGTGAGTTAAAAAATAAAAAAGCGATTTTAAAAAGGCAGGTTGAATCCAGGGGGCTTACGCCTTTAATCCTAGCACTTTGGGAGACCAAGGTAGGAGGATTGCTTGAGTCTAGGAGTTTAAGACCAGCCTAGGCAACACAGGGAGACCTCACCTCTACAACAAATAAAAACATTAGCTGGACATGGTGGCATGCGTCTGTAGTCCCAGCTACTCAGGAGGCTGAGGCAGAAGGATTGCCTGAGCCCAGGAGATGGAGGCTGCCGTGAGCCGTGATCATGTCACTGTACTCTAGCCTGGGCAACAGAGTGAGACCCTAACTCAAAAAAAAAAGGGCAGAACATTTTGTTACAGGAGACCCCTCATTTGGCTCTTATTTGCCTCTAGCAAGTTGTTCCTTCTCGTCTCTTTAAGTGTGTTTTGGGGACATGTTTAGAAATAGTGGTGACATTTTCTGAAAGATGTTATTTATCAGTATTTATTAGAAAACATTTCTGTAAACCATTCATAATATAACGCCCCCAAATGGAATCTTTCCTTTGGCCATGCTTAGCTCCTGCCCCTTAGTGGATCTGATTTTTTACATGGACTATTTAAAATTCTTACATATATATGATCTTAAACACGTTTGCCTGCAATCCATTTTGACTTGGTCTTCATAATGACATTCTGTGAAAGGACTGTTCCCTTACTGCTAGATATTCAGATTATCTCTACTGTTTCTTGTTATAGATAATTCTACAGTGAACGCCATAAACTATTCAGGGAGTTTAGTTCCTTCCTTTGGTTTTCGTAAAATAACCAAGAGTGGGATTATTGGGTCAAAGATTCCAATGTTGGATAATTCATTAATTATATTACTTCCTTAAATGATTGTTCTTTAACATAAAACAGGAATGCTATGAGTGGCTTGATGGAGTAATCTGTTTCTGGAAGTTGAATACTTTGAACTTCTACAGGAAAGCTTTGGAGAACACATCAAGTGAATGAACAGGCTGCTATAAATATTTCTGTTTATTTTTGTTTTGAGACAGAGTTTTGCTATATTGCCTGGGCTGGATTCAAACTCCTGGCCTCAAGCGATTCTCCTGCCTCAACCTCCCAAGTAGGAATAGCTGGGGATATAGGTGTGTACCAATGTGCCCAGCTACTGTCGACATTTCTGAAAATCCCTTTAGGAGCTGGGCCACAGCACCTCCTGTTTCAGAAGGGTGGATTTTGAGGAACGGATCCTTGTCTTGATTGGTTGTCAATCTCCACTCCTTCTACTTCCCTTTCCCCAAATACGGGGCTTCCCCTGAAGCAGCCAAGGTAATTTCCATTGAAGCAAAGGAAACTGACTCTTAAGAGCTGCTGAGAATCACTTCCAGAGTTGGGGTTGGAAGGATGTCACAGCTAGAGGACTTGCTGCTGCTGCTGCGACTTCCCGGGGACACCTTCAACAGGGAATCCAGCAAGGGGCTGCCAACCCCACTCGCATTCTTCAAAACCAAGGAAATGCACTCATGTGCTGAACTTTAAACAGACTGAGGCTGGATGTCATTCTTACTGAACTCTGATGTTGGGCTGACAATGACAGTGACAATGCAGCCATTTTCTTAAAACAAAGAAAACAATAAAACAACCCCAAACAAACAAAAAGAATGAACCAGAGTTGATCCAAATTTGAACTAAAACCAGTACTGTCCGGCTGGGCGCGGTGGCTCAAGCCTATAATCCCAGCACTATGGGAAGCCGAGGCAGGAGGATTGCCTGGGCCTGCAGGTTCGAGACCAGCCTGGGCAACATGGTGAGAACTCGTCTCTACAATAAATAAAAAAATCAGCCAGGTGTGGTAGCGCGCCCCTGCCGTTCTGGCTACTCGGAAGGCTGAGGTGGAAGAATCACCAGAGTCCAGCAGGGTGACGCTGGGGTGGCCAGGAGTGTGCCACTGCACTCCAGCCTGGGCAAGAGAGTGAGATTCAAACAAACAAACAAAAAAATACTGTCCTTGGCTTTGGTCCCTGAAGGAGCCCTCATCCTGCTTTCTACCTCACTTTACCTTGCCGTATGGCACTGAGAGACTTCTAATTCCTGCTTTTATTTGAATACCTGTAAGATGATTTCCCTTATCAAATAACACTCATTCTTTCGGCATCCTAATACCTACCACTGATATACACACAAGGCAATATTTGGTTATAGACTAACTATAGAGTTACAGAATTGTAGAACCGTCAGGGCCCAACCCTTTCAAGATAAGGACGATGACTGGCTCTCACTTGCTGAAACCAGCCACTGTGTCAGATGCTTTATTGGAATTGCCTCATTTAACCTGCACCGCACTCCCCAAGTCCCCAAGTTAGGTATTATCATGATTCTCATTTGTCAGAAGACAAGTGTATGTGTGGCGAGGCTGAGTGCTTGCCAAGTTCTCACGGTCAGTGGTGGCAGGTCTGAAGCTAGAAGCATATTCTTGGCAATATCTCCACTCTAGTTTCCTCCAGTGTCCTGTCAAGTGTCTGTATACAGGATGACAGGCAGAACTGTCCACACCAGGACCCCAGAGCCTCCTCGGAAGGTTAGCAGGCAGGAGAAACAACCCCAGGGCGTTGCTGGGTTGTTTCTTCAGAGTTTCCTGCTCCGCCACCCTGTGTCTTTACCCATCTCTCTTCCTCTCTACTCACACACACTCAAAGTGCCAGTGGCTTTCCAGGCCCAGCAAGAATCAGGGGTCAGGCAAGCTGCCAAGCCCAGCACTTGGGAGAAGGGAGAGAGAACAGATGTGTATTTGAACCTCGCAAATCAGTGTGCCTCTCTTTTTCCTTTGTCAGGAGATTGATGACTGCCTGGTCCAAGCAAAAGACCGAAGTTATGATGCCCTTGTGCACTTCGGAAAGCGAGGCTTGAACGTGGCCGCCACAGCCGCTGTGATGGCTGCTTCCAAGGTACTGTGCACGACCCTGGCCACACACCCGTGCGGGCATCTCAGTCCCTGCAGCCTGCCGTGCTCATCACCCATGCAACTGAACAGAACAGGCTCAGAACGAACCAGTGGTTCTTCATCTTTTGGGGGGTCCCTTTGAAAATCTGCGGGGAAAAAAATGATGATTTGCATGTGATGTTTACAGTACCGAGAGGTTTCCGGAACCCCTTGTGTGGATCCCAGATAAGAACTTTTAACCTACATGGAGTCTTCTCTGGAAGTGAGAGGGGAGGAGAGGAAAGGATAGAGCACTTCCTGCAATTTCCTGGGGTACTGGGGGAATTGCCTAAATTCAAAACGGACAAGTAGAGAGACTGCCTGAGCGAGCGGTGGGCTCCATGCTCCTGTGGCCCGGCGGGTCCCGAAGAAGGAATCCGGGGCTGCAGAGTCAGTAGAGTGGTTCATTCATGGGGGTGGTGATGTGCTAAGGGTTAGTAACTGAAGTGTTAGGAGGCTTGAGATGAACACTGGCCTTTAGGGTATTGTGATACGAACATTACTTCTTCTCTTTTTTATCTAGCCCTTTCCAAAATTGCATCTCTTTCTCGCTTCTCCCATCAGGCTCTGTTGCGTCCATTTCTCATGATGTCCTCTGACCTGAAACGATAAGTTGGCCAGACCTTTCCTCCCAGAGTGGACTTGGCAGATTGCCCCAGTGTTCCCCAGTGTTCCCCGCCCCTTCCCCAAGACCCAGTATGGAGCAGGGATCTACTCTCAGCTGGTCCTGGAAGAAAGGCAATTATGCTAGAGTCAGGGAAGACACAAGGGCTGGGAGCTAAGTTGTATTAGCTAAGGGAAGTTCCAAGTCCCTGCTTGTGATGTGAGAGTGTTGGAGAGAGAGGTGGGGGGCCGTAGGAAGGTCTGAAGAGGAAAATTAGTACAGCTCATGGTACCCCATGGGCTTTGAGTGGGTGGTGGATAGAGTCAGTTGGGTCGGGCCTGAGCTGGGTTTTCCGTACCAGGGAAGAGCATCCTCAGAGCATGTCTGGGAGAAGGACTCAGCACACAGGGCTGGGTGGTTGCTTGAAAAGGACCTTCTGTGAGGCAGAGATGCTGGCACTGGGGAGCGGCTGCAAATACAGGTGAACATGAGTGGTGAGGTTTGACTACACAGAGGCCATCATATGTCAGTTGCTTGCAGACTCATATCAAAACCCTGTCCATGAGTGGCGAGTGAATTGATGTACTCTGATCATACAACTGCATCTGGTGGCCGGCTTTAAGTCAGAATCCCACACTTATTTTAGTCTGTGTGTGGCCTGCCTAGTATTTTATTTACCACTTGTGTCCTTACCTATTTTTTATGGTGAGTTGCAGGATTATTTTATTACATATTACAATGTAATAAAAATAGAAATGAAGTGCACAATAAATATTAAAAAATTTAAAAAAGAAAAGCACCTTTTGAGGCCGGCTATGGTGGCTCATGTCTGTAATCCCAGCACATTGGGAGGCCGAGGCAGGAGGATTCTTGAAGACAGGAGTTTGAGGCGAGCCTGGTGACACAGCAAGACCCCATTTCTGCAAAAAAAGAAAAAATTTTGTTTAAAATGGGCCAGGCATGGTGGGGCACACTTGTGATCCTAGCTCTTTGGGAGGCGGAGCTGGGAGAATTGCTTGAGCCCAGGACTCTGGGGCTGTGGTGAGCTGTGCCCGCACTACTGCACTCCAGTTTGGGTGACACAGCGAGACCCCATCTCAAAAAAAGAGAGAGAGAAAGAAGAGCACCTTCCACGGAAGCCAAGGAGTTCTACAGACACTGCAGACAAAGCCTGGGTGAATGTGAAGGAGAACCAAAAAGGGATGATTTTTGTTTCAGACAAGACCAGCTCCTTCGGTAACACAGAACCATAGCAAAGTGTTCCAGTGCTCCACATGATTGACCCTGTACAGGCCCTGCCCACCTTGGTGTAGTAGCAGCCGGTAATATGAAGGATCCCAGTGAATGTCTTAGATGGGAAATTCTGCTTTGGTATCCCAAGGTCTGTCAGGATTTATGAACAGCTGTTAATCCCAAAAACTTTCCATTTGCGGTACAGACGTTTTATGCTTTTATTTTTGAAAGAAAACTCAGAACTGTTCAACTTTGAATGAATTGGGCCCTTCCCTCTAGCCCATCGCTTCTGCCTCTGAAGCCTGAAGGAAGCTGGGTCGCTGCTTTTTTCCTCGGTTTAATTATAGAGTATAAGCATGGTGTATTTGTCAGGCAGTTCGATATGGGTCACCCGGTGGCTCAGCTGCATATGTGTAAGTTTTACTCTAATGATGACTCCTTCTGCAAGGCCAGGTCAGCCTCAAGGTAGAGCCTTCAGTGTCTTGATAGCATCTTGGCCACTCACCGCCCCCCAACCCTGACAACCCCAGGAAGCCTATGGGCCCAAGACTTCTTCAGCCAGGCACCTACAACAGCTAAAAGCTGGAGGAAGTGCCAGACAGTCTGAAACTTGCCTCAAAAAATAACTGCTTACTTGTCTTCCCAGTTGAACTGAAGTAGTGAGTCACGTCTGCTTTCTGGTGAGTTTGGTATCAGATAAGAATATTTGCTGCCTTGTGGGGACTTTGCCTTTTCCCTCTCAATATAAATATCTGGAGAGGGAAAACACGTCTTCTCTTCTAAAAATAATGCCCTCTATTTTTGAAACATGTGTGTACTAAAAAGAAGAAGAAGTCAAATCCAAAAACTCTAATCTGGCTGAGGTGTCCATCAGTGGTTTCTGTTACAGCAGCGGATCACTCCAGGCAGTGGTCAAAGGATGATGACTCACCATTAGGTCCAAACCACCTGGGAAGCTTGCTTTTTGTTTTTATAGCTTCTCAGATGTGCTGAATCAGAATCTCAGGCAGTAGGCCCATGAATCTCTGTTTTTAGTAAGTCTCCCAGATGACTTTTAAACAGCCAACCTTTGCTGGTCACACTGTCTGAGGCCTCATCCAGGGCCATAGGAGCACAGGTGATTAGGCTAAGACAGTTAATGCAGATTTAGCCCCTAGAAGCGTTAACCTTCAGAATGAAAAAAGCGGTGTGTGTGTTGGTGTGTGTGGAGGGGGGCAATCAGTGTTTCTGTCCCCAAAACCTAATGCCAGTTGAGAACTACTCTGATGGGATTACAAGTTTTGCCCCTCCAAAGAGCCCAGCACGGTGCTTTGCACCCAGCTGAGCCATTAACAAGTTTGTTGACTTGTTAATATTTAGAGAATATTTAGAGCAGTTGCTTAAAAAAAAAGACACCAGGGTGGCCCTGGTGACCCTATAATTTATTGTCCAAACCAGGAAAACTTCTGAGAACGAAAAGGTGCTATCATCATTACCCTGGGATAACAGGCATGCACTAGATTGTCCCAAGCAAACTGGGATTTATGATCACCCCGATCCTGGCTTCGTTTTAAGTCTTTTGGGCCCTCCCTGTCTCTTTCCACAAAACACCCTCAACTCACAAATCAGTTCTCACTCTCAGTGTATGCCACCTTTAGTCAAAGGGATGCAAGAGAGTGTGTGATGTGTTGGGAACACTCGCTCTTAGTTGTAACAGATGAAATGGAGACTGGGATAAAGTGACAGGATGAAGGAGTAATTCCCTCTTCCCTCTTCCCTTCTTCCATCCTTTGATAGCTCCCCAGAAGGAAACTTTAGAAATTAGAAGAATGAACAATTTTTTGACTACACATTTAGCTAATCCTTATTAAAATGGTGTTGAGCACTGTGCTTCACCCTAATAAAATTAATGTTTGCAGGCTTTTTTGTTTTTGTCATGAAGTGTGAAAAAACAGTCTAAACCATATTATTATACAAATATAAGTTCGTATTAATTTTTTTTTCCAAAATAGGGTCTTGCTGTGTTGCCCAGGCTGGCATTGAGTTCCTGGGCCCCAGTGTTCTTCCTGCCTCAGCCTCCTGAGTAACTGGGACTATAGGCAGAGCTTATTCATGTTATATTACTGTTTTATCTTAGAAATGAAAGTGCTAAAACCAAAAATTTGGCATGGGAAATTTCTCCCCAGGGCAATTAACCTCTATTCTAACCCCACCTTCCTCCAAGACTAATCTCTATCCTCAGGAAGAGTTAATGCAGCTTTTCTTTCAGTGAAAACTGCTGTCTTCTTCCTGAGGACACATTTCTCTAGAACCTTTCGTCTAAGCATTCCTAGTCTCCTGGCTGACTCTGCTCCTATATATTACCTATTTCCCAGCCCATAATTCCACCCAGAGGGAAAATTGAACCTCAGATCTTTTTAGACTGAAAAAGACTAGAATTGAGGCTGGGTGTAATGGTTCGTACTTGTAATCCAAGTACTTTGGGAGGCCAGGGTAAGTATTGCTTGAGCCCAAGAGTTCAAGACCCCCCCTAGGCAATAGAATGAGGCCTTATCTCTACAAAAAAAATTTTTTTTTAATTAGCTAGGTGTGATGATATGCACCTTAGTCCCAGCTACTGGGGAGGCTGAGGTGGAAGGATTGCCTGAGCCCGGGAAGTGGAGGCTGGGGTGATCTGTGATCACACCATCGCATTGCAGCCTGGGTGACAGAAGGAGACCCTTGACTCAAAAACAAAACAAAATAAAACAAAAATACCATAATTTAAATGCTCTTAAAAAAAATTGATCTAAAAATTCAGGTGTTAAGCAAAACGCATTCTTACATGAAAGAGAAACCACAGTGAGAAGAAACCCACTGAATAAAAGTTTGCAAACTGTAAGATCTCAGCCACCTTACTTTTCTTGACATTTGAATCACATACTGGGTCTCTTCTGCCCACCCGATCCTCAAACCTGGGAAACCGAGTTTGCTCTTTGTCTCATAACTTGAAAAATATTGTTGTTTTAGTTCCCCCTGGAGATCCTGTCCCTAGAAAAGTTCCAAAAGTACCACTGCTATTATTAGGGTCACTTGTTGAAGAAAGCTGCATTCTGTGAAGTAGGGGTTCTTCTCCCACAGGTGGTCTTCAGATGTGTATGCGTGCGTGT